AAGGCTTGTCTTCAAACCAGCAGCCATCTAAGTGAGGACTCAACTAAGTCCATGTGGAAGACACACACCAGTTGTGTGATCCAAAGACAACAATAACAAAACTCAAATATGACGAAGGGAAAAGCATCAGAGCCTAAATTGCAAACACCCAAATTGCAGAAAGCTAGGGAGGACATTGGGAGCCCAAAACGCATCTACCCAAAGCCCACAGTCAGATTAAGCCACTGGCAGATTCCCTCTAGCCACAGGCAAGGGTCTCGAACAGCTTTACTATCAGACAGAGATCATTATAATCGTGATGATACCAGATTGAACTTTATACTTGGTCCATTGACCTCCCTCCATACCTGACCTAAAATTGTTCTAGGTGCAAGTATTTCTTGCTTGTTCCATGACAAAAATGTCTGCCCTGGCCTTTAAAATACTGATGATGGTCTTTGTATTATTATCCTTCCCAATTAATTTTGTTTCTGTTTTCGACTGTTTATGTTGGGTTTCACAGTTTGTGAAGCACAGAAGGAGTAAAGGCTAAGAACAGATGCAAGGATTTATAGAGGAGGGAGGGGTAGGAGGTGGGTAATGGGGAGGGCGAGGGGGTGGGGGTACAAACTATGTATACGGGAGGGGAGAGGGAGCACTAGAAATTATTGTGATCACACAACTCATTTTAAAAGCAATTTATCCATTAAAGAAAATAAAATGTTATAAAATTGAAAAAACAATAAAAAGAATGATGGTACCTGAGTGATGAAACTGCACAAAATGCCTAGGTGTTACCTTCTGGAAGATGTGCCTTGGAAGCTGGTAAGCCACGGCAAAAACCCTTCAGTCACCTTTTGAGGAGACTGTGCCAGTATCACCCTGGGGACCATGCTCTTTAACACTTACAGAGGCCTTGTACAGCAGATTTGCCCAGTGCAACATGTCATTTGATTTCTTGACTGCTAATTGCATGAGCATTCATTGTGGATACAATTAAATGCAAAATGCAATTGACAACTTCATTTTTTAAGCATTTTATTGGGAGCTTGTACAGCTCTTATAACCCATACATACATCCATTGTGTCAAGCACATTTGTACATTTGTTTCCATTATCATTTTCAAAACATTTTCTTTCTACTTGAAATAATCAGCTCATTTCCCACCCCCTTCCTCATGAACCCTTGATAATGTGTACATCATTATTATTTTTTCATGTCTTACACTGCCTGATGTCTCCCTTCACCCCTTTTCTGTTGTCCATCCCCCTCTCTTTACCCCCCTTTTCTGTTGTCCGTCCACCTGGGAGGGGGCTATATGTAGATCATTGTGATCGGGTTTCCCTTTATCCCCCCACTTTCCCCTTACCCTCCTGGTATCACTACTCTCGTTATTGGGCCTGAGGGGTTTATCTATCCTGGATTCCCTGTGTTTCCAGCT